AGAAACCACTGGATCGATCAGGCTAAACCAACGAGCCAAAGTTGATCTCAATTACAGCTACAAAGAGCCAAAATTTGAGATTTTTATCTACAAATTTTACCGTATTTTAATTGAATTTTCTAAAAAAAATAATCACCAAAAACCCGAGTTGTCACAGACATGACCCTAAAAACATCATTTCTACACGTTTCGTAACATTCTAGACCATTTGGAATAAAAAATAGCCAAAGTGCAATATCCTTAATGAATAAATTGAGCGTTTAATTACTCAAAACATAAACCAAAATTTGCCACTATCTAAATTGAAATCCACAAACCAGAATATATTAAACACATGTTTGACTTTGAGTGTGCGGGCAAAGGAGAAACGGGGTAGACCGATATTCGATTGCACGTTGCTTTCCTTTGGACCACTGTTACGCCAAGTGAAAAGCGAATGGTGTAAAGCGGGTCGTATTGGCAAAGCCCGGCTTTGACCCCGTCTCTCTTCCTAGTCGTGATTGGCGTCTCTGAGAATGTTTCAGGTAGCTAGTTCAAATAATACATTCCACACACCTCAATCATTGAGCGATCGTGGTTCGCCAGTTCTCTATGTTGTACTTGTGGCCAGATTCGAGAGTTACGGATGAATTAGCAAAGTCCACTGACATTGCCGTGACACTTGAGACCTAAATAACATGGTGAAGTATTGAGGGGGTCTTCAATGCATCAAACGACTGTGGAAATTAATTGAAAACTCCAAAATCAGATGAACCAAAGAAAATACGGGGGGAGATGATAATTGGGATTTCAATTGTGAAATCGATTAAACACTTGATTAATGTGTGTAATGCAGTATTTTCTAATTAGTATCCCACAAACCTCAATCATTGAGCGGTCGTGGTTCAACGATTTTGTAGATGAATTAATAAAGTCCACTGGCATTGACGTGACACTTGAGACATAAACAATGTGGTGAAGTATCAAGTGGCTCTTCAATATATCCAATGTCTATGAAAATTAATTAAAAACCCTCAAATCCGATGACAGAATAATAAAATAAGTGGATAATTGCATTTTTTGCTATCGAATGGAAGCCTTGTTTTTGACTGATTTTTCGATTTTCTAATTTTGATTGCAAATGGTTTAGAATGTTATGAAACGTGAAGAAATGATGTTTTTAGAGTCATGTCTCTATGTATGTATCCGACAACATGGGTTTTGAATTTTTAGAAAATTTAACATAAATACGGTGAAATTTGTAGATAAAAATCCGAAATTTTGGCTTATTGCAGCTATTTTTGAGCTCAACTTTGGCGCGCTGTTTCAGCCCGATTGGTCCAGTAGTTCCTGATATATAACAACTTGTTTTTCGTTTTTCCTCAATATCTCAAAAACTGCTGCACCGATTTTAAATCTTTTTTTTTTCAAAATACTCGTCTCAATGGCCTCTATGTATGGTCAATCAGAATATATAGACTCTCAAATAAGTCACATAGTTTGAAGATATTGCCGTTTTGCCGTTTTTAACTAGAGAAAAAAAGAAGGCAAATAGAAATTTAGTATGGAGCTACCTCTTACAATTTTAAAGGTTGGTATTTTGGATAGGCGCAATCGGCCGAGCGCTTCCTGAGATATGCAACCTTTCATGTAAATATATTTCTTCAAATATCTTACGAACTACTCGATGGATTTCAATTTTTTTTTCAAAATACTCGTCTTGGCAGGCACTATCTGGATCAATCAAAATATATCAGTAGTCAAGTGGTAAACGAAGATAAGTCGACTTATTTCTCAGTTGAGTTTTTGAGGAATATTTCCAAATCTAAGGGAGATGGCGAAATTTTGGTAATCACTACACGGAGAGAAATGTTCAGTAAAAATTACGGAACTCACAATTCACTCAGCGATTACGGAATCGACTCAGAAAATTTAAGTGAAGGTATCGTAATTTTTCCCAGGAGATTCAGATAAAATTTCCGGAACGCTCCGGAAAAATTCCGCGACAGTTCCGTAAAATTTCCTACAACCACATTTCGCTCCGGAATTACGGAAATGATACATAATTTTTATTGAATATTTCTCTCCGTGTAGAATTTCAGGAAATATTGTTATTGAAAAATCAAATATTCCATTAGTTTTCGGTTCAAATGATCTGAAAATCAATAAAATACTCGATTTTTCAGGTAAATTATTCCGTGAAAATTCAGGAAAATTCAAAGAAAATTTGAAAATTTATGTCATTTTGTTTCTAAATATTCAATTATTCATGTTCCATTGAAAATTCAATGAAGTTGTGAAATTTTCATCCTACTTCCATTGAAAACTCATGAATTTCTTTGAATTCTACCCAAAACTTGAAATTTCATAACCATTTTTCCCCTAAATCCGATTCAATGTCACTCTCATGAGAATGTAGCTAGCCTGACACAAAAAATTGGAGATTTCAGATTTGACTAATACAATGCTTCCATTCAGAAGCAAAAATCCTTCAGGATATGATAATTGAGATTTTAATTGTCAAATCCCCCAAAACACTCAATTAATCATCAATTACTAAAACCCCTTTCCCCAAGCCTGAACTAATGAACCCAGTGATGAGATAACAGCGTAATAACCTCACAATTTGTTACCAAGCCTAAATGTACAATCCTTCATACTGTTTCGAGCCTCCTTCCTCACTGTCGGCAAATTTTCATCCAGACTTATTTATTACCAGCCTGCCCATCCAATTAGTGGACCCAGCTTTAACAGAGGTCAATTAGTTTTGTCCCTACCATCAGCCCTCAGACTACTTCCTGACAGATACTTCTGCGAAAACTCTTCTGTCTCCATTAATTCAACCAATGGCGCACATTTGCGAAAGAATCAACTCAATCTGCTCTTTTTTATTACCAACTCTATTCCTCTCTGTCTTCAATCGAATTGGGTTGTTTTCGAATCCAACCGAAGTACATGAAAAAAAAGGAGGGAGGAAAAAAAATGTGAGCGAGCGGGTAGAGAGTAGCAGTGCTTTCAAGGGAAGAAGGGAAAACTCTATCTCCCGATAGTTTGCTATTTTCAAACCCCCTTTAACGTTACAGAAACCCGTTACTTGGCAAAGTTTTGCGACGTACCGGAACCTGGCACTGAAAATGGGGAAAAGGGGTGGGTGGAAGGGGGGGGGGAGGTTTGGATGAGGTTGGCTCATGGAGATAAGAATCCAGTTCGTCCACCTCTCTCTCTCCCCCTCGCCCCTCTCTAATGCATATTCATTCTGAGGGTATATTCACGGACTGTCTGTGTGTTTGAATATCCACCCTCACAAATGTACTATCGTTTACCGAGGGCGAAAGTGTGCGTTCTTCGAATTTTAACAGGTCTTGGCTGAGAGGGGGGGGGGGGGGGG